TTCGTATCATGTCGCACATTCGAATACTTTTTCGATCGATCTTTTACAAGCGTTTGCATCTTTTGCAATGATTACAAGGATATCATTGCGCATTTTACCTTATAGATTACTTTGGCAATTTTATAGGCGAGAGATAAAAATCAATAGTATCCGAGACTCAAATTTAAAGCAACTATAGGCTGGGGTGATAAAAGAATTTAAATTAACTAAACATACCATACACGCAACAGCGTGTTTTTTAATTTAGGTAACATGACGTCAGGAGAATTTTGAAAAAGTAAATCACTGGTGATTTGTTTGTGTAGTCCAAAATATTAAACTCGTAAAAATAATATTTGAAAGAATAATGCATTGTTTTTAGAAAAATAGAGAAAAACTACAAGGAATCATGAATTAATGAAAATTAGTCCTTTGAGACTTGCATTATTCTAGGCATTTCCTAGGTATCTGCTTCTACTAAGTATCTAAACTACAACAAATTACACAATACTCATTGGAACTCGGTTGGACGAATAGAATCTCTTAAATGGAGTACCTAACCCAGTTGCTCTACCAGCTTTTACGAAATGGCCAGCTGGTCCTGGCCATCTGATCGAAACCAATACCTCTGCCATTCCAGTAGGGTCTCAGATCATAGAATCCCTTCTATGATCTGAGAGTAGGGTAGTCCACTTAACACGTTCACACCAAGGTTGTAATGCGAGCGGTGTGCATGTCACCATTGAGCCGTGAAGGACAGCCTCCCAGGGAGCTCGGCTGTCAACTTCCGCGACACCTGTCAAATTGGGACAGTGGGTTTGGCAAGCGTATCAGGTTTAGATGTAATATTGAGTAGAATATTTAGACATTATTATGAAACAGCGCTTTTGATTACAATGTCAATTAGTCACACGGTGTCGAAATCCGACCATTATTCGGGTATCATGTCGCAATATTAGATCCCCATCGACCACAGAAGTAAAGTTGTAATGAACCCGCCCCTAACACTATTTTAATCAATTTTTTTTTATTTTAATTTATGCACAAATGTCAAATAAACCCAGAAATCAAGTAGAGTCAAGCCTTTGATTAGTTTTTGAGCATTTTTGATACTTACATTTCTTTGTTGTTAGTCTTAAAATTCTGTAAGAGAACGAAATCCACAAAAGCGTATGCCATCAGCAGAAACAAGTTACATTATAATTTCTTTCATAATCTATCTATCTAATTTATGCTTACCAAATCGTAATTCTAATAAAGGGATTCATCAACGAATCTAATAAATCCCAAGCACCTCCGAGGCATAATTACGCTAAGAACAATGACGTGTTAATAACATGTCAATATTGATAGATGACAGCAAGGTTGCTGTCAAATTCACCAGCACCCGCGGAGCAGATGTGCCAATAGTTCACAGGCCATGGTTGTGAAAGGTGTAAAGTTATGGGCATGAAAAACATCTCTACGTCAATGTAATACATACATTACGTTAAATAACAACAGTCCATCAATAACTAAGGCTGAGTTGGGCCATTTTATTTTAGTTTTGACAAACGTCAAAAATCTGTCAAACTCCATACAAAAAGCACCGGTTATCGTCATAGTTACGGTCAAAGTTAGGTGGTGCAACTCAGCCTTAGAATCCCAATACATTACGTTTAATAATTACAATTCATCAATTAATTTATTATTTTGAATACTCATGCATGAATAGATTTATGTCTGTGATTGCTTCAAATATTGAAATTCAAGCAATTTGCTTTTTTATACTCTATACACTGGCCAGCGTAGTAAATTCCTTATTTTTTTTTATCTACAACGAGGAAGCTCTTGGGAAGGATGATAAATTCCCTCTGATTTTGAGAGGGTTATGCACTTTCTTGCATTTTTTTTAATATAAAAATAACTTTCCTTAAGGTTCGCAATTTTTGATACATCTGGGAAAATATACCATACTCGCTGTCAAAGGGTGACAAGTTTCAATATTTTTTTAACCCTATCACTGCTTCAGGAAAATATTTTGGGGCTAGTGCTGGGAAGAAGTGTGCAGGAACTTGTTTTTAAAAGTTTTACGTATAAGGGCGGGAAATCGTTAAATAATATAGTCTTGACAGACTAAATTACATGCAGATCACGTGCTAATAGCTAAATAAATAGTTAAGATGACCTAGTAGATTGCTGCAACCTGCGCAAAGCGTGTACGCACATAAATATTCTAAACCATGTTTAGTCAATCGCATCCTTGACATTCAGTTAATGTAGAGCGGTTGATTATAATATAACCATGAAAATGTGGTCGCTCTGGTGTTTTATGACCACATGGTAATTTAGTCCAAAATCGAAGGATTTGTACCACTAAACTGTAGAACTAATTTTGATGATTGTAGGTGGATGTAATAGGTTTTTTTAGCTACAATGGGAAAGCTCTTCTGCATCTCAAGTGAGGAAAATTGATAAATTAGGCCGAATGTATATTAGTATAGTATAATATAATAATAGCTAGCCAGCTAGGCGAACTTGGAACAAGCTCTACCATCAACTAAACTGAGCAGAAAATTTTCCTCCCTCTGGGAATCGAACCCGGATCGCTGGTTCTGAAACGGTTAATCTTATCACAAGATCATAAGAGGCGATCTTTATAGAGTAATCGGATGCATACAATTTGAACACCATCTAGCTAGGCAGTACCTGTTCGTTAAAAGCCTTTAGCGACATAACTGCGATTACCTAATAAATGTACTTACCTACTCATCTTTAGCATATTATTGTTTCATCACTCACTGACCAAGACAATGTTAATTTAGTTGACATAATCCACTGAACATTATTTCTAGCAAATCAACTCGAAATGAGTACATCACTATAATTTGTATGCGCACCGTCGCGGAAGCGTCGCAATCTGCATTGANAATTGGGACGTATTTGAGTATTCAAAGCGAGCGCTTATAACATATCTGTTTTTGTTTTTATATAATATCATTGTTTTCTGTACAATTAATGGGTCGTAACTTTTTTATACACCCGGGAAAAGATTCATTTATATTCGCTGTCGAAGGAATGACGAACGAATGACAAGTTTCAATATTATTTTAAAACCCAATCACTGCTTCAGGAAAATATTTTAGGCCAGTGCTAGGAACGCAGCGCGGGATGTTGTTTTTAAAGGTTTTACGAATAAGGGCATGAAATCGTTAAATAATATAATCTTGACAGACACGCATGCAGATCACGGTGTTAATAGCTAAATAAATAGTTAAGATGACCTAGTAGATTGCTGCAACCTGCACAAAGCGTGTACGCACATAAATATTCTAAACCATGTTTAGTCAATCGCATCCTTGACATTCAGTTAATGTAGAGCGGATGATTATAATACATATAACCATGAAAATGTGATCGTTCTGGTGTTTTATGACCAAATCCACATGGTAATTTAGACGAAAAAAAAAATTAATATTTTTTGTACAATTATTAAAATGTAGAACTAATTTTGATGACGTGTAGACACAGACTCTATGTTTTTACTCACTACGGGGAAACTAGGCCTATTTAAGTTACATAGTTACCTATTAATATGGTGGTAGCTAGCAAGCCAGGGGAACTTAGAACAAGCTCTACCATCAACCAAACTGAGCAGAAAATTTTCTTCCCTCTGGTAATCGAACCCAGACCTCTGGGTCTGAAACGCTTAATTTTACCACAAGATCACGAGGCGGTCTATAAAGAGTACCTAATGGGATGCATAAAATTTGAACACCATCTAGGCAGTGCCTGTTCGTTAAAAGCCTTTAACGACATAAATGCGATTACCTAATAAATGTACTTACCTCACTCATTACCCTTACTCATCTTTAGCATATTATTGTTTCATCACTCACTGACCAAGACAATGTTAATTTAGTTGACATAATCCACTAAACATTATTTCTAGCAAATCAACTCGAAATGAGTACATCACTATAATTTGTATGCGCACCGTCGCGGAAACGTCGCAATCTGCATTGAGAACGTTCTGATGTAACGTCTCTAATTTGAACATTTGAATTTGGAACGACGCGTCGGAACGCAAATAAAAACAAAGAATTGCGTTTAATTATTTCTATTTATAGTAACATGAGAGACATCTGCTTTGTTAAAAAACTTCTAACTTACAGATTCTTTGTGTGCTAGAGTTTGGGTATTTAAACCACTTAGGGCCCTCGCCCACGGTGACTTTTTGTAGCAATGCAGTCGCGGTGGCTGTAGCGCGTTAGTAGCGCGTTGGCATCACTTCTGTAGTGCGTTGCAAATGCGTCTAACGCGCGTTATTAGCGATGCTGTCGCGCGACAAAAAGTCGCCGTGGGCGAGGCCCCTTATTGATAGAAACACATTGTATTTTTTCTTATAATCCTGCGTGCTTTTATTTAATTGAGCTATTGAGAAATACAGTTTTTATAGGAAAAACTTGACCAGGAAATCATCACTTTCCGAATCTAAGATTACTTGTGTCGTCACATGGCTTTAATTATTGTATTTTAGGTTCATAATGTGACGGTCGAATATCACAACTTGTCTACTCATAGAAGTCTTCGGTGTTAGCCAACATTTGACATTTGAACACAATAGCACAGCATCGGTTGGTGTTTCTATTTCTCAGAAACGTTAATTTGCTAACTCTTTTCGTATCGATAGTGCAAATTTGAAATTACTTCGTATGCCTCAAAACGTAATTGTATGCTAAAAGGGTATCTCATATGGCTTTAAAATTAATAAGCTTTATTACATACTAGATTTTATTGACGGTCAGCTTGACCGACAGAGCCAAATATAATGGCAATGAGGGAAGATAGAAGAATTCTGATTCTAAATGAATCAATAATCAATAATACATTCTATTCTATTCTATTCTATTCTAAGTACTAGAATGAATCTAATGTAGCTATAACAGTATGACAGAGTCAGCTAGTGGACGAAGTCTGTTATTTATTTAAAGGGTTAAAAAGAAAAATATGGTATTAAACAAATGTTTCTCTCATTTCAGTGACCGCCGGCTACGAGTCCGACCGCGAGGAGTGGAAGAGCAGCCGCTCCCAGTTCTCCACCACGGCCTTCGACAGCCTCGCGCGACCCACCAAGACCGCCATGGCCCTCACCCTCAAAAAACCCCAGCGGCTTGACCCCGTACCCCAGTACTACCGCCTTCCAAGCGACCCCAAACCCAAACTCACCCCCCTCCCCTTCCGACCCAACAACTTCCTCCAAAGACCCCCCAGACTACCCCGACCGAACCCAGAAATAAAACGCAACTTCCTCAACACCGACCACAGAAAGTTCACCTCCCTCCAAAGCTTAGAACTCCCGAAGAAACTCAGCGAGCCAAAGAAACAGAACGATGTCAAAAAAACGAACTATTCGAACATATCTAATAGGATCACTGGTTTGACGAATAAACTGCGAGATCTAGGCAATCCGAGCAACACGATTGGTCGCTTCAAGGCGCAGTCGCACGGTGACGTCGCCAATTTGAAGCCAGTTTTGAAAACTAACGCCCAAGATGGCGCCAAACGATCAGTTGTGAGGACTTGCAGTGCTGAACCACCAAAGAAAGTCACTTTCAGCGCGTTCGCCACCGTTCAGGTGGTTTAATATCGAGTGGCTTAAGTTAAATATCGAGTGGTTTAAGTTAAATATCGGGTGCTCGAAATTTAGTGTGATCTAATCAAATTGGAAATTGGTGGCAATAATAGTGATGAGTAATTCTAAAGTCGATGTAAATTTTTATTTTGAATGAATTAAATTGATTTATTGATGATCGATTGTATCTCGATAAATGTAATGTTGACTGGAGTTAAGATGTGAATGTTATAGGAAATATTCAAAGCATTATTTAGATTGTAAATCAAATGAAGATAGGCCGGGATTTGTGTGTAAATATAATGTACTTATTTCTAAAGTGTTGTGTAACGCACACAGTTAACACTAGAAACATTTACGAAATTTTATTAGTCTTAATAAAATGTCTTTAATATATGAACACTTCTATATTGCACAGCAAAAATTCGCACGCTACTTTCACATGATTTAATGTAAAATATCGATCAATCAAATGCACATCACTACAGCTTGATTTATACTATTTATTAATATTATTTTTAATGTGATTTCTGTTATTTTTGAATCTGATCTGACAGTTGCTGGCAATGTTCCCGTCTTAACTGAGGATTTCCAAAAGGAGTGTTGCGAATGTTGCAATGTTGCAATTTCGTGAAATGTCGCCAATCTTAAGGCTGAGATTGCTGTCGGACAGTTTCAGATACAAGAAATTGATGAGGTTGATGGTAGTCTTTAGATGTTATCGTTAGCCATAAGTAGATAGGTACTATTAGTAAGGGGGCGTCCATAAATTACGTGAGGCTTTTAGGGGGGGGAGGGGGTCAACAAAAACCTCACCAAATCTCACGTGGGGGAGAGGGGGGGTCTCGGGAAATATCACGTATTTTTTTCCATAAGAAATAGAGAAATAGAGTTTGCCAGAAAACTGGGTTAAATCTTAAGTAAAAAAATTGGCCAAGTGCGTGTCGTGCCACGCGCAGTGTAGGTTTCCGTAGTTGTCCGTCGTTATCACAATATATTTCAGAAGTAAGCAATTACTTCATCTAAAGTCACTTTTAATATTTTCTTCTAAGGAATTTTTATTAGGTATGAAATTTTATAATACATGAGTAAAACGACTATTAGTCTTGAACTAACTGATCTATCTTAACCGCTATAGTTTTCCTTGAAAGTTCATAAAAAGCACTATAATCTTGAATTTTCCCAGATTTATCAAGCCAACAGTTTAGTTTTTAGCGGGGGGGACGCCCTACTCGGACAAAAATTTGCACTTTAAACTTTAATATTTTGCAAACGGATCCCTAAATCGAAAAATGGTCTTACAAAACCCTAAGCCATTTTAAAAGACCTATCCAACGATACCCCACACGATGGAGTAGAAGACGAAAAAAAAATCATCCCCACTTTACATTTAGCTAGCTACCCTAAAAAAATTTTTTTTTTCAAAATTTTATTCTACCGTTTTGTCGGCGTGATTAATATACATACCTCTACAAAATTACAGCTCCCTAGTGCCAATAGTTTCCAAGCAAAAACTCGGACAGACAGACAGCCAGACATATCGAAACTATATTAAGGGTTCCTTGTCAGGAGTAAAAAATGATATTTGTATGATGATAATGTCATTTTATTCTATACAGTCTAAACAAATAAAACTAAAAATGCTTCCGTCTGCATGTGTTAATACTAAAATGCAGAATAAATGACGAAATTAAGAAAATTATAAAACAAGTTCTTTTTTATCAAAATCTATTTTGCTACATTATTAGTGATTTTGTAGAAAGGAACAATTAGACTAGGTACTTCTGTAAAAAAACAATGTGACCCTAGTACTAACACTACACGTGTTTTTCTGGATCTATTCGTAATCAGTGGGCTTAGTGCGACTTTACACAATCGTCATCCGCTAGCGACTGCGTAAAAAATTACATACATTAAATGTATGATGATTACAGCGTCCCTAGCAAATACTTTCAAGAACTAAAATCTTTAACTTTATAGATCTTTTTGATGCACTCGTTAGACATACGATAATAATATAATAATAATAATAAAATCATTTATTTGCAAGAACATGGTTACAGATAGGTGTTAATTTAATAAATTCCAGCATATTCTGTCGCATGCGACGTGCAAAAGTTCTTGTTCTTAAAGTTATGTTAATTATTGCTACATTTAGTTTCAGACTTTACATATTTTTACAACTCAAAATGACTCAAAATCTTATTTTACTCGTTGTTGTTTTTCATACCATGACAGTAACAATACAATAAATAAATGTCAGGAAACGAAATTTGAAATGCAAATGTCAAAATAAATTTAAATTAATTGTATAAATGTCAAATTAAGTTACATTACCGATGTCACATCATTCTATCACTTAAAAAGTCATTCACTGTATAATACATTTCACTACACAATATTATTCATAAAATCATCATAAAATACACATTACAATGTCAGCCTTTATTCCTTTTGAGTCGTCAATTAGCATTAAATATACAACACGAGATACAACGTTAAAGCACACAAAAAAAATGTTTCTCAGTTATATTACTCCAAAATTATTAAATTTCGGATTTTTTTTTAATATCACGTGAGATTTGGGGGTGGGGGAGGGGGTCAGGCAAAATCTCACCAAATCTCACCAAGGGGGGCGGGGGGGTTGAAAAATAGCCAAAATTGTCTCACGTAATTTATGGACGCCCCCTAAATTCAAATCAAATCATTCAATCAAATTACTGAGAGAGAAACATTGTGGATTTGGTTCCAATTTTTAAATGAAAACTAACACGTTGGGCGCCAATTTAATGATTAAACGTAATAAAAAAGTACTCGTGCAGTCAAGTAAAACTTTAGTGCAAAAATTGAGAAAAATCAATGTTAACTAATTAGTGCAATGTCAGTCTGATGACTGGATATTAAAAGTCCTAATAAGTACAACACAACATTAATGCAATAGAATTTACTTTTGAAAAAAAAAACGCATGTGAATCAACAACTTAGTCTTGTACTGATCCAATTTCGCTGACATCTAAAGCTACCTTTAGTAATAGATTATAAAATATTTATTATAAACAAATACACCATCAAATGCGTCATTATATCCATTAGTATAGCTAAGTCGATTTGATCATCTCCTCATTTTCTAGTCGACTTCCCTTTTCTTAATTATTTTAAGTCTGTAGTCAAAATTCTATCAGGAGACTTTTTTAACCAATTCCGATTCGAATGATTCCAAAATAGGTCCCCAGTGCTTATAATATTTTATTTTGTTTAAATTCAGACATTATTTTAGTAGTGTAGAGTTGATAACATTACATACTACACCTGTGTTAATTAAGTAAGTGTTGCTTTTTCTTCGCGTTATTATGTTTAAGTTATTCGAATTACGAAGAAAACAGTTGATAAGGACGTGTTCGAGGTAAGGTCACGGGCGGACCATCAATGAAACTGCAAGCACAGAATAAGTAATAGTACCAAGGTACTGCTAGAGAGTCGGATTTGCTTGACTCTTTGAAAGCCACAGGGTTCTATTCCTTGATGTGACATTTCTTCAACTTATTGTGCGTAAATAAATGCGATTACGGGAATTCAGACGCGACATATAGAGACATTTTAGCAGCATCTTCTCAAACAAATTCTTAAAAAAATACATAATTTTCCTCGCAAACCACCAAAAACGCGTACGAGTAGGTCAATGTTATTAAATCAATAAAGACTTTGTCTTTTGAATTTGCGTGAATCTGCGAAATCGAAAAACTCCGTTTCGAACGCTTTTTGAATACACCCCCATGGACCATGAAACTGATTGCCAAAGGTTGCGCACGCGCCTTTAAAACTGTTACTCTTCGGATTCTTCTTAGATAGTTCTCGTTCACTTTATGAACATATAGAAAATGCCTTTATTTATACCTTGATCCTATAAAATAACTATTTAGACGAAAAGAAGTCATATTTTGTCATATAATTATTAGAATAGTTATAATCAAAACAGTGTAACTATGAATGTATTATAATAATTAGAGATATAGTATAATGTTGTATGATTTATTTTCGTTGTTACTTAATTACTTGTTTCGTCGTAGAGTTGTTTGAAAAATAATAAAATGTTTGTTAATCTGAAAAATTGTTTCTGTAGTTATTTATTTATTTCTTATCAGTACCTAACTTCTTAGTCGTCAAAGTGATATCAACTTTCAAATCAACACACCATTAATTTAAGCCAGGATCTACAGTTTAACTTCCAATCTGAATGTTCAATTGAACGTTGAGTACTCAGTCCCGGAGGATAAGTTAGATATCTTAATTAATTTTTAACTGAAACAAGTCACGGAATCCCTAAGAAATAAAAGCTGGGAGTTAATCTAATGGCAAAATAATATTACATATTTTTATCAGACATTCGTTATTAACAAAATGAGTGAGATATTTTTAAAGATAATGTCTGTTTTTATTTTATTTACGTAAACACATCAATTACAAATTGTAATTATTTGTTTTATCAAAATTTGTCTTAGATATGATTATAAGACTTTGGCTATCAAATCTCATTAAAATGTTTTAATTGCAACTTACATAACATTTTTTGCAAATTATAATTATTGATTGATAATGTTACAATTCTGTTGTATAGATATAGTTACCTATAAAATTTGAAATTACCTCCTTTTCCATACAAGCAGCTGAAGCAGCTGACTACAGCGGGAATTAAATCCGCAGCCGCAGTGGTAATTGAATTTACCGACAATTTGGTTTGATTGAGTATCCAAAAGTTTTTTTTTACTCATACACAAATGCAACGTAACAAAAGGTTGAAAACTCAGCATTTTCTATTTTCCTGAATTTTTTAAGTAAAGGACTCACCTACAATACTACAATAAAATAATACTTACTAGTTGAGATATCTCTGGAGCATTGGATTAAAAAACAATTCTCCAGAGATATCTACCGTTTTTAAAACTTCTTACGTAACCCTAATGAGGATAAGCATAGGTTATCGCAATAATATATCGGCAACAAAGAGCGCTTATCTTATGTTTTGCGGTAAGAGAAATACTTTTTTACGACTGCTGCAGTGTGGTTCGAGATCGAAAAGGAAGTACACGTAGGTAAGGTTTGGTTTCTCTTATAGTTTTAGTTTCATTTTGAACTATCCTTCTAGAAATATCTGAAATGAATTAATATTTGTAACAACAGTTACCAGCAAACAAAGTTCGAATAACAAGACGATGTGTTATTTTTTTTATGATTACAAAATTCAATAAATTTTAAAGTAGTTAATAACAGCTATGTAAATAAATATGAGATCATTGTCTTGCATCTTCTCTACTTTCATAATAGTCCAGTNTAATTTGGAACAGAAACACATTAGTTATTATTTGAAAATTTATTAAATAAAATTGGTTAACTTTGTAGCTAAACTAACTAAGTAAGTGCTCTATGTTCCTCCGTGCTCTAGGGTTTTAGACTCGAAACTCTAAAATTTAGATAGATGCCGAAGATCCTGGGTTCAATTTCCAAATGAGACACACGAATAAAAGAATACTGTTACAATTATTAGTTGGAATAAAGTAGGACATTGCAAGAAATGGTTAAATTATTAGGATGTTGCAAGACATCAAATTGACCGTCCAACAAACAGAGGAGGCTTTTTAAGCCTCTAGCCCGATTGAACTGTCTAAAGTTTATGGTGGTTCATAAAGTCTGACACCTGATCCAGAATTACCTCATATAATAACCCACAACTCAAAAAATAAAATAAAACATAAATAATAGGTTACTGCATGTAGGTTAAGCTTCACGAAAATTACATTAATTTTCCAAAATTTTCAGCCATCATGTCGGTCGCCCAAGCTTTCGAGTCCAGCAAAATCGTCCCTGACGTCATCCCGACGGCTCCCACAGGCAAAATTGATGTGAGTATCAAATTTTGAAGGTAACGGAAAACACAGCGTGGGACGTCCACCCACAAGGTGGACCTACGTCCTGATAAAGGTATCAGGAAGGCATTGGTTGCAGGCCGCTACCAACCGTGCGATGTGGAAGTCATTGGGGGAGGAGTCAGATTATCACAAAATAATTTTGTGACGTTAACTTTATGCCGTAACCGTATTCCTAAGTGTAACGTGAATAAACGAAATTATATTTTTTTGTAATATTAATCCAATTGATCAAAGATAGACTGTTATTACGTAATATTTTTCATTGCTTAGCGGTGCAATGAATAAAGTTTACCAATGCATTTTAGTAAGTGCACTCAGCTGTTGCATTGAAGATATTATAAGTAGGTAGGTAGGTAGGTAGTACCTACCTACATATTAAACACCGGTATCTACTTACAGTATCTGAAATCGCATAAGAACCTGTCATGGCTTTAGATATCGTCTTTCAGAAACTGATCTTTATTAATTATTATTGCACACCACACAAAAACTGAAAAATTGAAATTTATAGGATAGGCACATTTAGGCGGTCTTATCGCTGGGAAGCGATGGCTAACAGATAGCCAGGCGGTAAAGAATTAGAAACTTACTACCAGGGAAATTATTGTATTAGGGATTTTGGATATTTTTATCTCGATATTTTTACGGGAATACAATAGGGTAGGATTAGGATCGATATACGGGCAAAGTCTAGTGCTAATTTAAAATTAAACACTTATACCAAAATAATAAAAGTACTGCAGGTACCGATTACCTACATCAAAACTCTATTATCTCATTGGTAAAATGTTTGCGAAATGATAACGGTAATAAGATAAACGAAAGACTGTTACCTAATTAAGAATTATGATAACAATGTCAAGGACTTATTATTACTTAATAATTTATCACTGGACTTACGAACAACACCATATTTTTTATTTGTTTTAAATACAATAGATTATGTAAATATTAAACAATGTGATAACTAGGAGTGAGTTCGTCTCAACCACGTTAGCTCAGCGGTCAACGGGGATTCTTTTTGGACTTTTCGGGACACAATTGAATTTTTTTCGGCATCCTTTTCGTCCAATGAATTAAAATCAAGACCNGAGGATGAGTTCAAATTTGAAGGTCACCGTACTGCTGGAAGGACCAGCAAGCAAACACGTACAAATTGCGTACTGCGGGCAGGACTTGCGATAATCTTCTGGCAGGACGTTTAGAACAAAAGACCAGTCCTTCCAGAAGAGCTTCCAGCAGGACAAAGCACCGGGCGATCTATCATTAATAATTTATCACTGGACTTACGTATAACAGCATATTTTTTATTTGTTTTAAATACAATAGTTTTATATTATGTAAATATTAAACAATGTGATAACTAGGAGTGAGTTCGTTCGTCAACCCCGTTAGCTCAGCGGTCAACGGGGATTGTTTTTGGATTTTTCGGAACACAATTCAAATTTTTTCAGCATCCTTTTCGTCCAGTGAATTAAAATCAAGACCGACCTAAATCCCGATTTGAAGTCGTTTTTGCTTTTTAATACTGAATTACGAGTTAGTAAATTTATTTTTATCTTTTCATTTATTACTCAAAGTTCATTAAACAAATAATAAAGAAAGTATAGTTAGTATCTACATGTTGTGAACCAAAATGGCAACACTCTCTCTAAGGCAGAACCCAGAACATGACGCTAGTATCTGCGGAAGTCATTGTTGGATGATTTTCTAATATTTTTTGAGTTCCTGTATAACACCTGTAGGTATTGATTACTTACAGCTGAAATACCCCAGCGGAGTGGAGGCTACGCTCGGCAATGAACTGGCGCCCACCAAGGTGAAGGACCAGCCCTCCGTCTACTATGACGCTGATCCTCAGGGCTACTATACCTTGGTGTTCACTGGTGAGCATTCATTAACATTAAAACANTTTAAACAATAAATAAGTAAGTAGAAATGGCGAAATTAATGCCAGGAAGTACCTACATTAAAATACCAGACAGAGATAGTTCACACCTCAGATCATAGAAGGGATCCCTTCTATGATTCACACGATTCCCTTACAAAAAGTTGATATAAGTTTTTGAGTTTAGGTGTCCCCAACAAATTTTGATACAGGGCTAGTCTAAAGCGAGACTGGCAATAAAACTTGCAGAAGTTGACTTCCGGTCGTGGTCATGTTGAGGCGTTGTTCACATCGGTTGTAGAGGCGGATACAAATCTCCGCACGATCTCGCCGCCATCTCTCTCTATTGGCAGACTTTCTGGTGCAGTCACATACGCCGTCTCCCACTGCCGATTTCACTTGGTCGGTCCAGCGCATTGGTGACCTGCCACGCGATCGGGTTCCTTCGACTAGCAAGCAAGCTGCAATGCAAGCTGTTTATTACCGCTGTGTAAATGCTGTACGTGGCATACCAACTTCTGCAAGATTTACACAGTGGTGACAACTTCTGCAAATTTTATTACTAGTCTAAACCTCGCTTATGACTAAGCAGCATCATTTCTTTGAAGCAAACAGGTTTTTTTACATCAATTGTTTATTATCTTGTATTCTTTCGTACCCAGACCCCGACAACTACGACGGCCCCGAGCTAGTATACCGCGAGTGGCACCACTGGTTGGTGGGCAACATCCCCGGCAACAAGATAGCCGAGGGCGAAGTCCTATCCGGTTACATCGGCTCCGGCCCTCCAGAAGGCACCGGCATCCACAGATACGTGTACATTCTGTACAAGCAGCCGGGCAAGCTGAACTTTGATGAGAAGAGGCTGACCAACAAGTGAGTGTTTTTCCAAACCACGGAATGAGGGCTATCGTTTTAGCGCTCACCAGTTTGCGCCACTGTAGAGTAAGGTCCTGTCACTTGCTAGTAGCGAAGACAGTGGCACCAACTGGTTAGTGCTAAAGTGGTAGGAGGACTATCGCATTTGCACTCATCAAGATGGCGCCACTGTAGAGTAAGGTCCTGTCAATCGCCAGGGGTGCCAACTGTTAAGTATAAAAACTATAGCCCTCATTGCCAAAATAAGCTAACCTAAGTAGGTGCCAACGCCTAGGAAAATTATTAGCAAAATCTTCGTCATGTGACATGAATGAAAATTTTAAGAAATTCATGGATTTTGGGAAGGATTTTGAATAGAATCACCAGAAGCGTCACGGCCAAAAAATACCTAATACCATTTAGCCGTCTTCAACAGAGTGGTCCTTCGAGCCGGATAGATTTTGTACTGTCAGCTCATTTTCCATTAATCAAATATCAATGTCAAATATTGTTTTGGTATCTTACGTCCTGAACTGGAAGAACCTTTGGAAGATCTATTAACATAGGACTTTTAACGTTTGACGTAGCAACCGCTAAGCATAGACCATTGTATACTTTTGAGATTAGTTAACCAGCCAAATACTATGGTTGTTATACCTAAATACTCCCATGTTAGAAAATGCCTGCCATATTAACACCTCAAGAAGTTTTCTATTAGTAATATTAACTCTTCTTTCTTCCAGATCCATCGACGGCCGCGCAGCATTCTCCACGAAGATGTTCGCAGAGAAATACAACCTCGGGGCCCCAGTGGCTGGTAACTTCTACCGCGCTCAGTTTGACGACTACGTACCACTGCTATACAAGAGCTTGGGGGTTTAGATGTTATGATTATATTTATATTTGTAATTAAAGGTGTTGAAGTTTGATATGTTTTCTCTTTATACTTTAGAATAAAATAAGATTATCTAATTCGCGTTTTTACATTTCATTTTCACTCACCGTTGCGGTTACCCACCATGGAAACCGTACCTACTCGTACCTACTTAGTTTTTAATATTAAAGTAAAAGTATTTTATTTGCCAACAAAAATTTACAGTCTGTTTATCTAGCGGCTGCTGCAGTAACTGTGCTTGTGTCGCGGCAGCCTTAAGTAACACAGGTTAACAATGTTGATAAAATATAGTGAGGAAATTAAACGAACAACCTGTGCCGGGTTTTAATGCTACCAGCGCCCTGGGCTTGACTTCTTTCTATGGCGCCCCCTAATAGTCATCTTCGTCAATCGACATTAAAATATGTAGCAAAGCATGATGCATTAAGAAGCAGTTAGTGCCTCTACCATGAGTTTACCNCTCAATGTGTTTGAAATCTTTAAGTGGGCAATAGCTATACGGTTTACCCTACCTAAGTTTATACCCTACATTAGACAAGCCGTTGAGTTTTATGTATATCGTCAATTACTAGCGCCTGCATCATAAACTTAAACATGCTTCGGAATAAAAATGAGAAGAAATGCATAAAATTTTAGAACCACATTGCTATTATTATAAATAAAAATTGCTTTGGGTTCTAAATATTTTGCCATAAAATAAAAATGGTGATAGCGAGGATTAAATTTATATTCATCTCTCAATTTATTTTATTTTGCATTTATTTATTTTTATTTTTTTGTATTCGGAAAATAAACAGCTTAACAACACAAATTTCATAGGTACCTATACAGATAATGATCCATTAGGTACTTTGAATTTCAATATTGGGTCAAATCTAAGTATTGTAGTGTTGAAGCACATCTTACAACATTTTCATACAATTTACACAGCTATTACAATAATTCTCTGTCACTTATCATAAAGCGCAAATTGTCAATCTGTGAACTACTTCTCCACTCGACCTTTTTAATGGGTACGTTCCAACTTGTTCAAAATGGCGCCAATAAAAGTGAAGTAAAATATGCCACGGAACGTAAACCACTGCACTGTACTTTCCCGTTTCACGACATTTTATCTTACAATGTATTTTTCACCAGGAAGCCACCGAGGTTGTTTGCCGAGACAGTGAGTTCGATGCGAACTTAAACACCTCTATGTAGTACTAGACAGGTTATGCTGAACTGAGAATATTATTGTTTTATGTGGCAACTAATTTAGTTCGTTACAAACAAGAGACAGGAAACAAAAATGTGCTACGAGGCGTAGTAGACAAACAGACACCCATTTACCAATAATAATAATAATAATACCCCTCAGTCCAGTCTATACGACTCATGACGCCAGGGGGGGCCCATTTAGTCGCTGGCTAGTCACCGCCTGCCATTTTTTCAGTCAGAGACTATGAACCAGGCAGGTGTCCCGTAGTCTCCATCCATAGCCCAGTAACCAGTCCCTCCATCCTTCATCCATAACCCTAGTCCATTCTCCAATAACTGCAATAGCTCCTGTGCACAGGCTGGGGATGGTCTCTGGCTACATCCAGAGGCGGCGTAAGGCGTAGGCGACGTGGGCCACCGCCTACGGCCTCGCGGAACAAGGGGCCTCGCGCATCAAAATTTTTGAAACAATGTATACAAGGTGGAGATGACAATATCACAATACGACAATAAATGCAAACATTGACTATTAAATATAAATTCTTGATAGCTAAACAATGTAGTTAAAAAATATATTTTTTTTTCCAAACAAATTCAGCCATAAATCAGACACAAAATTAAGCAACAACACGGTTTTAAGTGACGAACATTATTCTTTAGCGCAATATTCCTTTAAAAATAACCCATCAAAAACAATACTTGTCAAAAAAACCAAGTCTCGCAACTCAGTTGTTCTACGGTAAAAAGTTGTGAGATCCATGTAATACCAAGTCCAGGCCAGGAAATCTTTAACGTTTTACATAAATATATTGACTTGGCCATCGCACTAAATAATTTAATTTACACGTGTTTTCATGCGATGGCCAAGTATAGAACAACTGAGTTGCGAGACTTGGTTTTTTTTGACAAGTATTGTTTTTGATGGGATCTCATTTCTTTTTGTATTTTGTAGACAGCAGTTATGTATCTAAAAAACTGGACCGAAATTGAAAAATTTTACTCGACTTGGCGGTTGCACTACCGTGCCCCCAAATATTTTAGTTTTTCCTTGATTCATACACCAAACACTACTTATATTCCAAATTTGAAGCTTCTAGGTCTGCTAGAAGTGCCTTAGAGTTTTGATGATCGGTGAGTCAGTGAGTGAGTCAGTGAGTCAGTGAGTCAGTCAGTGAGTGACAAAATTAAGTAACTTTGACCCGTTATAATTCTTAAACTACTGGTTCAAATTGAATGAAATTTTAAATATACCGTGTCTTTACAATGCCTGCATAGCTAATGAAAATTCAGCCTTCTAGTTTTATCCACAACGAAGTTACAGGCGGTCGAAAATGGCCTGAATTGCTTCGAGAAAAGGATGGTACGGCGGCCGTGCCGCTTTTTTGCTCGACTTGGTGGGGGCACTGCAGTGCCCCCAGATCACTGTATCAAGAAATCAGAAACTGTCAATGAATAGACCCGTTTTTTTTTTTTATAAAATCCGTCTTCAGGTCGCCACAGAACAAGGCCTCGCGAAATCTGTCTTGCCCACATCAAATTTAGGTCTTGCCCCGCCACTGGCTACATCCCATGATATAGTCAGAGACTAGATCCAGCATGTGCACCACTTTCACTTTTGTCGATTATTTTACGCTTAAAACGGCCTCTACGTGTTGGATCTGTATCCCCACGCAAGCCTTATAATAATAAATCTTTGGACAATTTCACACAGCGCCAGCTAGCCCCAATGTAAGCAACTCAATGCTTGTGTTATGGGTGCTAGCTTAACGGATATACTACTTATATACTTTTTTTATTAAATACATACATATTATTATACATATTTACACCCAGACCCGTCACATACATTAGGCAATAATAATTAGGCCCGGCCGATAGGCAATAGGCAGGCAGAGCAAGTTTGTGCTGTCTTATAGATATAATAGGGTGGTAGGTGGTAGTGTACATTAGTAAAACTTACTTTTTATGAGCTTTCAAATAGAACTCTCGCGTTGATTCTAAAAGATACGAAGAGAACGCCTGAAGTTTTTAGTTTTCGAACTCAATTAACTAATAATTGATTTCCAAAGCTACTGAAATCGTAAACAGCAAACTAAAAACTCACTCGGTTTTCAGGAATATAAGTAGGAGTCTTCGACTTGGCCCACTTTTAGCTTGGTCCACGGGCCAAGTCGCCATCAGAAGTTCTGAGTCTACAGCGACTTGGCCCCAGAAGTTTTTCTTTTTTTATGCATAAAAAGGCAGATATCGCACCTGATGTTAAGTGGGATGCAGTCTAGGATGGTAGTATCTGTCCTGTAAGTGCCTATTCACTCTCGCCTTAAAAAAGGCCCGGATTATAGTCTTCGGGAAAGAGAGCAGCAGGCAACGAATTCCAGTCCCTAGCTGTTCGCATTAGTAGTAGTTCGTAGTAGTTGTGAACGGCTTGTCTAGTAGTTACTAGAAGTCTTTGGCTACGATTAATATTTTTACGTCCCACTTGAGAACTCTTACAAGTTAGTGCTGTAATTGAGTTGCAAATTGTTAGAATTTATAGGGTGATCTTGATTTGTTGTTATGTCCCGCTACCTCAATAAAATCGTGTGGGCTGCAGTGCTACTGATACTGTTTTATGGGCCTTACCACAAAAAAATCCGTGGTATGGGCCTATTTTTTTATTTGAAACGTCCAATGCAAGAATGATAGATAGACGCTTTCCATATTTTGAAATGCTTGGTTAGCTGTTTTACGAATTTAAAAATATTACTTGAGGATCGTTAAGAAAGAAAAACATGTTTAAAAAAAAACTAATAAATTTGCTATCACAATTTTACTATCAAAATTAAAACAGTTGTCTTGTAGCCGATATGGAAATTACATTTACATGAGTAACGATACGTTTGGTAATTTTTTTTGTTCTTTAATTTATTTGTAATAAAAGGCTTTTTCTAATTAATAAGTAGTAGTATGTAGGGGATACCGAGGTGAGTTGTAACAGAAGAAAGTTGTGACATTGTCGATTTGTGAAAACCTATTGACTCCCAGCGAACTCTCAATACTCAATAGTCACAACTCTTCTCTGTTACAAGTCACCTCGGTCTCCCCTACATACGCGGACGGCACGTGCCAAAAGACTGTAGCAAATAAGTTCAATGTACAGACAGATAAATAATTAATTTACTTACACTATTATGAAACCATGCAATACCAACTTTATAGTTATGTATTAGAAGATAAATTCGTTTGGATGGAATGTCAATTAGCAAACGAGGACAACGGTGTATTTGCCAAAAACAAGGTAATGAAATGATACTAAAAAGTACAAAAGGATTAATTATTATCAGATAAGTTTTTAACTCTGAGTTTCTATTTATTTTTTATACGTAATATCACTGAAAATATTTATGGTAACAGATAACACTGTAATAAGTAGGTACTAAAGTATACTTAGATAATATTATGATTGTAAGATTTGGGGAAGATTAAAAGACATATTTTGTTACAAATTATTATTGAGATAGTAAGGTGAAACGCACACTAATTGCCCTTTCCCATAGGCTGTACAGTTTTGTGGGATCCAGTGATGCAGGAGTTCTTAAAACGGGACTGTCGTGTGAACACAGAAGCTTGTTATTATTATTATTATTTTACGGGCCACTACAATCGGGATGTTCATGGGAACGTTAATATAAAACACGTTTCCCGTTTTCACAATCAATCCCTAATTTTTAAGTGACCCCTACCATAGGGGTCACTTAAAAATGTGCTACCACATAACAGGAATTTTGTTTACATAGGAGTCACTTCAAAATTAGGGATTGATAGTGAAAAAGGGCATTATACCTCTGCCGGAACA